GCAGTGGGAAATAAAAATATGATTTTTGAAAATAGTTTTTTCAAAAGAATGTATACTTTTTATTTACCAAAAAAAGAAAAAGAATGTATACTTTTTAATAGATTATCAAAAGATTGTATAGCTATCCTTGTTGTATGACCTGATTCCATGTGTTAGGGAAAAAAAAAGATTTGATTCCGTATGCATCCTCAAATTTGGTGTGACTGAATTAACAATAGATAGAAACAAATATTTACATGATTTGATAAAAAACGATTCGGTATTAGTTCTGCCGCTATTTCAAAGGCTGAATTCAATCAAAATCAACGTGCGTTTAAATGAGAAACATCATGAAGTTACTTTTTTTAAATGAGAAACGACACGCAAGTTTAATTTCTTTAGCACACAGAATATTAACAAACGTATGAATAAGATACAACCAGCAAACTCAAATGCATAGGAACAGAAAGATTACAGAAATGAAAGAACAAAAGAATCATCAGAGCATTCTCATCGATCCCTCCCACAATCTTTAGTATATTTATCGGCGTCCATCGGCAACTCAATTTCAGGCCAAGATCGATACCGATATCTTTTGATGGATGGTTAAAGGTTTAAGCAATGTCTATTGCCTTTTAGCCTGCAAGCACATTCAACAATTCCATTAGTAGTAAGAAGTTGTAGAACAAGAACATGATCAGAAAAGTAGCCACCTTTCTCAGGAATTTTTCATGAATCTTCAACGCTTCTTTACACGCTTTTCTCGCGTCCAAATTACCCGCAATATCGCCCAATATCTGCAACCAACAGAAAAAAAAAACTAAATCGCAATAAAACCCGAGAAAAAGTAGACTTTCTCAGAAGGTTTTCTGGATAGAGAGAGGGACCTGAACGACATCGTCTAGGCCTTCAGCTTCCTTCAAGAGACGTTTGTTCTTTGTTTCAAGAACACTTGCCACGACGAAAACAGCGAAGGTGTTGTGTTGCTCGTTGTGGCCATTCTTTATATATTTTCTCTCAAACTTTCCATACTGCTTCAATAACCTCGGATCCTGTTCCGAGAAGCTATTACTGTTCTCTGGTTCCTCATATGATGCAAACTTGTTAGGATTGTACTCCATAGCCCACATCAGCTGAAACCAATTTCTCATCCCCAGAATCAGCTTAAGATATCAAGAACAAATGCGGCTGTTGCCCGTAAAGTAACCAAAATGGAAACAAAACGGAGTCTTGTTACCTCCCAAAGGTACACGGCATCAAGGAATGAGAATTCTCTCCTGAACAATACCATCAACATCCGTATAGCAAACAGATACTCTCCACCGTCGAGATCCTCTGTTGTGGAAAAAGGAGTTTAACGTCTTAACTTACCATGAGAAGTGCAGAGAAAACACAGCTCAATGGAAGGCAAAATGGGGTATTACCTAGATGTTGATGGAGTCGAGGATCAACAGTTTTAATGACCTGTGAGAGCATACCTAGCTGCGTCTGGACTCCCATTGATGTCGCGGTTGTCCTGAAATTTTCTCTCTGCATTCAAGAAAACTATAAGACCATGAAAACAACAATACGCAGGATAACAAAAAACAAGACGGAACTTTTATATTCTTACTAGTCTTCGCATTGCACGCTCAAAGCACCAGAAAGCATCGGCTTCATCTTCGAGTAGGATTATCATCGGGGAACATATGTCGTTCATTCCTACACAAAATGGACGATTAATTCCCATCTCTTTTCTATGTTTTCTTGTATCGAAGATTTATCATTACACCAAGGTGGACTTACCCTGAACATAGCCAATATCAGGATTTAACCATGTATATATGGCAAGAATATCCCATAGTCTTGCTTGATTACTCTCATTCTCATAAAAGCATAGATACCGATCCGTTCTAACAACATCAAGGCCTGCAACAAAAATTTTACCATATTATAAGAAGTTATTGAAGAGCACTTACATATATCTAATGTTTAAACAGACTGCTAAAGAACATAAATTTATGTATGAGTGTTTAATAAATACCAATTTGACTCAACACGAGCATCCACTGGAGCACACGCTTGTCTGTTATAGCGGTTTTCACAAGCCATCCTTGATTTTCAATTGAAGATTCTTCTAATGGCAGCCCATCTTCCGCAACAACAGCCATTGTGACAAACTTTCCACTACCAACGAGAGGAACCATTTTCCGACATTCATCTTTCCAAGCAGAATACTGCTCCCTTAGATAATAAGTGCAGCAAAGTAAGGTATGAAAATATTACTCTACTGAGCATTCAGTAATATTTTAGTTTTCTCTGTGGTAAGAAGGCGCTGAATTACAGCACAGAAGACAATATTACCTTCTGTGATTCCTCAGTCTGTTCCTTTCTTGGAACGTGCTGTCTGGATGGTAACCTCCTAACAAAAACTCCCAAACCTCTCCTTTGATTGAGGGATGAATTCCCTGAAAAAGCATCAAGTAAACAACAAGGCCATAGACCAAAACACAGATAAGATAACAATGTAGACTTACTCCTCGCTGTATACGTCGAAGAACTCTTTCCATATCCAAATGTCCATCTTCAGTAAACGCAGCATGCCATCTTCTAGCACTTAGAGTTTTGCCAGCCTGACCAAATCCCAAAATAAAAATATTCGGACCCGGAAACAAGTCAAGAACATGAATGGTGGAAAAAAAGAAGAAGAAGAGAAACCCTTGATTTGAATCTGGTCCTGGGGACATCTGCTTGACATTCTGATCTAACCGGATAGAAACCTTGAAGATCTTCTCCTCCGGATTTCCACATATATCCACAACAAAGCATCCAACTTTTCACTAATTTTTTTGTCTTTTTGGGTCAATCCAGTATCAAAGCAAAACCTAAAATAAGACTATCTCATTCCTGTTTCTCCAGCTTTATTTTTCTTGTTTCTTTCGATCATGTAAGCTAAAATTCAAGGTTGTACCTTGTCGGATTCAAAATCGTGGATCGATCTTCATTCTTCGATTTCTGAATTTGTCAAATTGAACTATTGAGGGACAGAGACAAGGATTTTTAAAATCAAAGAATGTTGGAGCGAGGAAGACGGCCATAGTGACGGCATCGATCATGCCGTTAAACTTGACGGCTTCAAACAACGATTTGTTGGAACGACGCCGGTTAAATGCAAACGATATTTCCTCAAGTTGGGTTTTAGTTTAAATTAGTTTTCCAAATTTTTATCAATCACATATATTTCAAAATTGAATACCGTTTCTCGTTTCTGCCGTCTGTTAATAAAATATCACTCAACTTCTACTAAGATATTAACCAAAGAGTTTTACAACCAAACGAAAATGGATAAATATCACTTAGTTCATTCATATATTTTTCTGGCAATGAAAAGTTGGTGTATTTTTTCTAATTTTTCCCAAAAATCCAAACACGAAAACGAACAGAATATGCAGAATTAAGCTCAAAACCTTGTCGCCATTTGTGATTACAATTTTTTTTAATAAAAAGAGCGTAACAAATTAATACAAAATCCAGAGGACACGATACAGGAAAAATATGGGAGTTTCGTGGAAGTACACCAAACAACATCTGTGAAGAAGAATCCAATATACAGAAAAGAGCCGGCCGATTGAGGCTTCTTCATTTGCGGATCGAAAGAAGCTCGAAGCTTCTAAATGCCTCGTCACGTGCGGTCCTTGACGCAGCCACTCTGTTGCGGTTAAAGGCAGAGGCTGTCTTTGACTCGTACCCACTCACAGCACCTGAACCTTGAGTTCTAGAGGCCGTCTTTGGCTCATATCCACTCACAGCAGCTGCCCCTTGAGTTCTATGAAAGACGGATGGACGGTTGCCGTTACCGCTTGAGGCCACACGGCTCGATCCGCGGCTCTCCCCTTGTTCGCCTGATGAGCTTGGCCTACTCCCTGAGGCAATCACTCTCCTCGAAGCACTACCGTATCTCGAAGTGTTTCTTCCTTTCTCAGATATCATATTCTGACCCACCCAAAAGAAAAACATATCAAGAACGAGGAAAGACTGATCGTACTATTACACAACATGAGATGATTCCTTGAAAAGTATTGTATCAATTTGTGCGCATTCTTATTATAAGTTTTTTTTACCACAGCAGGTTTCATCAGTGAAGGAACCTCGTCAAGAGTTCGATGTCTGGTATGGTTTTGATGGGGACTGGGACTGGTTCCCGTAGCGTTCCTTCTCGCGAATGCTTCAACCGCACCTGAGAATCTGTCACGGATTTCCTTCCCAACTGTAAGAAAGGAAAAACCAGGTTTTAAGAAAATCAGATACAGACCACTTTTGAGTTGAGCATTTTACAGTAGTTATATGTTTCTTAACTGGGAAAAAGTATATGATTTACCTGAAATCCTTTCAGGTTTTTCAGCAGAGGGTCCTGCGGCCATCCCTGGTTTACCAGTGCGATGCTGAAGAAGAGAGAGTATAAGGGAACCAGAGTGAGTAAAGGCACTCGTTAGACAAATTTAAGCACAAGTGTACTCACCCTTCCGTGGGAGCTGGAACGGGAGCTGGAACTACTCTGAGGGTGTTTCAATGCAGTCCAGTCGAATACATAATCAAACTGATAACCTGATACCATTAATCGATTTGTGATCAAAAGACTGGAACATTACATGGGTATCAAAAAGAATCGATATATCAAGAAAATTCGCATTTCAAATTATATACATTGGTTCTGCTATTTCACAGTTACTAGTAAGGACAATAAATAAAATGATATAAAGCACAAAAACCACAGAAACTTTCCCAGGACACTCTGTATGAGATTTAAAATTTCTATTCAAATCTATTGGAAATAGTGAAAACATATACCACAAAACAATCTTCAGGAAAGAGACTTAACACATTTGCAATAAAAATATTAACATAGAAAAAGCAGGGCTACATTACTTTCTATCTAAAGAAGCAAAAGCTTAGACTCTGAAAAAGCAAACCTTCACGGATAAACAAGTCTCGGAATAGCCTCTTTAGATATGAGTAGTCAGGTTTGTCTTCGAATCGCAAAGACCTGCAGTATTGAAAGTATGATACGAATTCGGGTGGATGTGACTTGCATAAGACCTGTTATAAGTATGGTAGAACAGTTAATCTGTGATTTATGTGATAATGAGATAGCTGATCAAACTACAATCAAGGGTATCTAAGCCATATTTATGTCTTCACCATACCTCTATAGGAGTTGAAACTTTCTTCTCACTAATTCTGTCATACTTCTGCTTCTTTGTGCCAGCTTTTAGGCCCTGCCATGGGAGGCTGAACCCAGAAAACCCCAGAAAAATCAGACCAGAACAATTAGTGCAAAGATTTAATCAGACAAAAATGGATAAGTATGCACAACCTTCCTCTCAGGAAATACATGAGCACATAACCAAGAGACTCCAGATCATCCCTCCGACTTTGCTCTGCCATCAAATACACAAACTTTAGGAATTGTATACACAACTTTGGAGCAGATCTGAAGCGGTTCTATGATTGCTTACCGACTCCAAGGTGAGTGTTGACGCTAGCATACCGAGCTGTGCCTGTAAGGTTCTTGTTTTCTCTGTAGTGAAAATAACATGAGTATCTCTAAGTATTTAAGTACAAAAAAATGAAAGAAGTATACAGGCATGCACATGAAAGCTCCATAAATCACCTGTAGGGGATGTGCCTATGTGTTTGGAGATCCCTATACTTCTTTGCAAGGCCAAAATCAATGATATACACCTAGATACATATTATTTAAGATGATTTCAGCATCTATTTATATATCTTCAGCTAAGAGATTCTGTCTCTTACATTGTAGGAAATCTAAATGGAAAAAACTTAGTTGGAAAGAAAGCAAAAGCAGAAACTCATGTTAAGCAATTATACCAGTGGTAACAAAGAGAGAGAAGATGGAATCTAACGTAACTTTCTCTATGGAAATCATTGGTTAGTGAGTAACAATCCATCAAACAGAAATTGATAGAAAAAGGTACCTGGTTTGCTTTCCGACCAAGTCCCATCAAGAAATTGTCTGGTTTTATGTCGCGGTGAAGAAACCCCCTAGAATGCATATATTCAACTCTGCTAATCTACAACGACCAACAAACATTTTAGGTGGAACTCCAAAACTTCTGCCCGACAAAGTGAAAGCAGCACTTGAACTACTCACCAGTTGATCTGCGAGCATCAAAACTGCCTTCAAAGTGAGCCTCCTATTACAATAGTTGAACAAGTCTTCCAAACTCGGGCCAAGCAGATCAATGACCATCGCATTGTAGTCTCCCTGAACCCCAAACCACTTGAGGCTGGGGATGCCAGCTTCACCACAGAAAACAAATTCATTTTCAGAAATGTGATGTTCGATGAGCAGTGTTGAATCAGCTATTTGACACAACTAAAGCATATTTTTATCAAATTGGCACAATAATAGAAGCTCCAGATCTTGATCAGCAAACTCATCTTAGAGTTGTGTAAACTTACTTCCTCCTTGTAGAAGCATGTAAATCTTCGACTCATAATGAAGTTGGGGATGCTTAGTTTTCGCAGGCTCCTTCAAAGGTAAACAGCACATTAGATATATTTGTTGCCGAATTCCCCAAAATTATGACTTTTTCGATGGCCAAGAAGCTATGGATGATACATAAACTTACAAGAATGGCGAAAAAAAAGTTAGCAAAGCTTAACGAAAGAATGAAGCCAAAAGATTGAATAACAGTTCCATTAAGGCTATTTCCAGAGGATGAAAAGATGTGAAAAAAATTCAAGTTTGTGACTCTCTTCCTTTCAAAATACGAATCACAGAAGAAAAGTATATCAAGAACATCATTGTCAACTAGAAATGACATATAAATCACATGTTATCATCGATATAGAGTGATGAGAAAGAAGACAGATTTGAAACAATACCAGCTTAACAGCTACTTCTTCTCCGGTTTGCACACTTACGCCTGTCGATAAAATTTCAAGAAACAGATTCAATTCAAAAGGTAATCCACACAATTGGATCACAGAAAATGATTAATAAAAAAAAGAAGAAGCAATTTTGACCTAGAAAAAGCTCTCCAAAAGAGCCACCACCGATCTTCCGACCAAGCTTAAACTTGCCCCCAATTACATTATCCATTTTCAAGTCCATTCAAGAACCCTAAATTACTTTTCAAAAATGCTGAAGAAACCCACCAAGGAAGGTCTCTGTTTTACAACAAAACCAGATTTTTTCCCCTCCCTAATTCAGAATCAGCTTCTGCATAAAATCCCCATCTGAGATCGAAACACAAGTCAACCAAAGAATCGCTTCTCTCCCCGTGAGAAAAAAACCATCCAATGCCGTCAACTTTTAGGTCGTGGAAGAAGAGTTGAATCGCCGGAACAAGAAAAGAAATCTGACAGAAAGTCAAGAGGAAAAAAAAAATCGACAAAACAACATCCCCAGATTGATTTTTGTCACATTCCCAAAATCAAAGGTGACGAATCGATTTCTTGGGCGAAAAATTGACCCAGTAAAACATGTAAGAGATGTC